CCTGATTGTCCTTTGTCCCCAAATCATCATTGATTGCACATAGGTGACACTACACCATCTTACCCTAGACTTCAACCTCATATAAAGGCTTCTAAAATGTGCACTTCCTCTTCTTGGACAAAGACTTTGCATAGATTGTATAGAACTCTCATACCCAAGTCGAGACATAAGGGGGTCGATTTCGTGTGAACCTCTCAAACCCATGGAACTTGATTGTGTCCCAAATGGCCGGGTAATCACTCATCACCCCATCAGTTAAGAGTCGCCTCTCCTTAAGGATATTATGTTCTCTTTCCATTTTGAGCCTATTGAGGGCTCTTGGAGCTATAACAGGGAGAACTCTGAAAGTAGGGGGACAAAGCCTTAGGAGGTTGTAAATATTATGACCGGATATCTATCATCTTTCTCGCAATCACTTTCTTGGGTGGTTCACCCATACACATAGAGAGGTCAGAGTAGCTTGTTGTTTCGGAGCCTTAGAGGGCTCATTAATAGTAACCCCCCCTAGTTCTTTTCAAAGAAGGAAGATGAGGAGATTCCCTTTCAGGCTCAGAGTCGGAAGACACTACTCTTTTTCCTTTGGTTTTGGCCATTTCCTGCAAGGCACAACAATTCAAAACACAAATCATGTGAAGGTTAGTTGAAATCAAATTAAAAAATAAACACAGTTCAAAATAAGTTTTGAGGCTTGCCGCCTGGGAAGGTGATTCTACTAACTGGATAGGTGAGCTCAGATGAGCTTGCCAAAGTTGACAAACCATAATTTAATTTTACTCAAAAATGAAAGATAGAGTCCTCTCCTATTCGGCGATCCGCCAAGTCAGGTCCCCGTGGGCTAAGACAAGTCCACCGAAAGTGATAGTGCTTAATTGAAAAGGAACAGGCACAAAGGGAGATGTTTACTCCAACTTGGCGATTCATCGAGTTGGTTTTGGCGATCTAAGACAAGACCGTCAAATGATTTAGAATTCTAAAATTTGAGGATTTTTCGTCAGGGTGGCACTGGCGCAGCGCACCACCAATGCACCAAACTGGGTCTTCAGTAGTTAGGCCTCTAGTGCAGCGTACTAACAGTGTGGCAAGATGGGTCTTCTATAGTTTAGGGGATGGGGCAGTGTACCAAGGATGCGCCTGAACCTAGTTTTCCCGATTTCATCCATTGTGTGCTCCTTGGAGTTGCATCCACGCTTCTCTTTTATGTAATTTCTCCCATGAGTTCAATTTCACTTCGAACACTCTTGTTATGGTAATCATATGTCTTAGTGCACAATCCTTGCAAGTTAAGCGAAACATAACAAATAGCATAAAGAGTATTCCCAAAACACAAGATATATGTGGGAAACTCTTAGTAAATAGGCATATAAATACGCCTAAGATCATTCACTATCAAGGGTCTTACCAGCCACTATTATTCACCCGATCCCCGAAGGTAGCTAGAACTGGTTGGTCAGAGTATTCGTTCGTTAGGCAACCTCTTTGAAGTGACTTATACCTGCGCCATGGTGGTAACATGTGCCATAGATGGGATCCCGATCAATATGGGGTAGTAGATTGTGTCAGAATGGAAGTACTTCTACCGTGGCAACAAAAAGTCCCCCTTCCTTCCTGGCCTAGTGTATGTGCTTTGCTACAAAGCAAGGGTGCCACTGAATGACATAGACTATGCAATGGAGAATAATGGTCCATTCAACCCTTTATTGGTGAAGAAGACTCCCTTTCAAGTGTCTAAGAATAAGAGTATAGGTGAGGCGGTAAGCAGCCAAGCTGCAACAGGTTCAAAGGAGGATATGAATAATTATGAGGACCCTACCACCCCTTCTACCTAGTCTAGTTTCTGCTGTCTAGCAGTTGCCTTGAGGAGGACCTGGCTATAGTCAAGAGGTTCATGGAAGATACTTATGCCAAACCCTCAGCCCCACCTGCTCCTTTCTAGGACATAGTCATGCTCCGTAGGGAGCTTGATGCTGAGAGGAGGAGAGGGCGCTCTTGGGACCATCTTGTAGACCTCGTGTGGAAGACCATGATGGTCATTTTCAGCCGCATCACCCTGGAGCATGAGTTGCCCCAGTTGGAGCAGAAGGACTTAAAGGAGTTCCCTTTCATGAGCGAGGTCGAGTTAAGAGACCTTGCCCCATGATGGTGATTTGGGCACACAACTAGAATCTTCCCTCTTGGATATTGGTATTTGATTTTGGTTTGCCTCATTTGGGCATAAGAAAACTTTACTTCTTTCCTTATTTTGATAGCGCATGAATGCTTGTTTGGGATGTTATAATTCCCGTATTTATACTAGGATATTTGGAAGAAATTTCGGTTGTTTTGTTGCATTGATAAGAACTGAACAAGTGATAGAATTCGGGTTGGGAATGAAAGGCAAAAATAAGGGGAAAACAGAAGTTTAGCCTCTCATTCTCCCAGATATCATGTCTAATACTCAGTATCACGGAGGCCGTTATAACACTTGAGCACTACTATGGCGACTTCTGCTATGACAAAAAACCTCTCACCATAGCGGGAGCACTACAATTGTAATGACCCTCTAGTTTATTTTGGTGATAATTACTTTTTTTTAATCATGTAGAGCATTCTTGTAGTGATAGCTCAATCACCTAGTCGTTCATTTCTTTTTTGCAAGTTTTTGTGTTTTGGAGCTTTTGAAAACTGTTGATTTTGATCATAAGTTTAGGAAGACGATTTCTGAATGCAATTCTGACAGTTCCATGAGCTTCGGAAGGGTCATTATAGGTTAGTGACATAGTTCGCTCGGGTCTTGAGGCTTTTAGTGCAACTTGATGCCATTAGACATTTTAGGTTTTAAGCTTTGGCCTAAGTTTGACCTCAGTCAGTATTCTTGGTGACATGCCTACAAGAGAATTATGTCAGCGCAGTTAGCTCCGAAATGTTGAGTTTGTTCTAGAATTACCCTTCGTGTAAATCTTGAGGCTCATTGGTCTAATTCTGAACTCCTTGTTGATTTTGGTTTAAAGCAGAGTTTGGGTGTAGGACCCACTTTTTATTGAGACAACCTTGGATGAAATTTTTGACTACTCCATTGAGTATAGAATGTCGAATTTGATAGGAGTGCATATTGTGTTTGCGTGCACGGGGTTTCGAACCAATCTCGAGCACCCAAGCGGAGTCCGAGATATCAAATCGATTTTTCTAGTGCCTGATGCTAGTGCCCTAACTTTTACGGCCCCGGTGTCACTTTAATGTCTGACCTTGGGCATATTTATATGCCCAATTACTACAAATTAACCATCTTTAACGTAAGTTTTAGGACATTCACTAATCTAACTAGCATATTTTGGCTTAAGATTACAATGATTGCATACTAACATACATGATTAGCAATTTTGCAGGGTTCCTAAAGGAAGTGATTGAGTCAAGGAAGAAAAAGGAGTTAAAGATGAAAAGCGACGCCAAGAGCAAAGACCAGGCGCGGCGCCCCAGCACCACTGGCGCAGGCTAGGCGTGATGCGCCAGTGGGGTTTTACTGGGGCTACATTTGGGTGCACTGGCAGCGCGGTGCGCCAGCTTTCCAGGCGCGATGCACCAGTCGTTTGCGGAGTTTTGGCGAAAGTTGATTTAAAAAGGACTCCTAGTTGAAGTAGAATTCAACTCTATTATTCCTAACTATTATAAATAGACCCTTAGGACTCCATTGTTAGGGTTCGACTTTTATTTTGTGTGCAAGAGCAAGTATCTACGTTTGTAATAGGGTTTGATCTTCTAACTCTTCTATTTTCTGGGAAATCGCATGAACAATTGTATTTTGTGGTTTTCTAATAGCATGAGTGGCTAAACGCCCTAGTTCTGGGGCTGTAGCTACAAATGAATTGTTGATTATTAAGGGCTTTATGAATTAATTCTTGGTTGTCATTATAAGTTACTTTTATATTCTTGTTTTTGTATTTCTTGACTGGCCATCTAGAGATAAATCTATTGTTTAACCTTAAAATCGGGAGAGGAGAGGTTAGATAGACCAGAGGATATAGAGAGCTTGATCGACCCGTTAAGTCGAGGTGATTTGTGTTCAGGAGTGATGCCCGGACGAACAGCTCGCTTGGTTACGAAATAAGATGAAATATAAATGCTCGCCAATTAGTCTATTTATCCCCGCTCAACGATGTAGTTAGGTAGCTAATTGGGGTAGGCAACGAGAGGTGTATAGCCCGACTCATATAATTAACCCTATAAACCAGTAACTTGACAACTGAAATTAGTTCTATGCCAATAATATGATACATGATATTCAGTATATGTTCCAGCCCAGGAATTGCTTTTAACTTGCTTGAAACATGATATTAAAGTCGTTCACAATTAGTTACTTTCATTTAGTTCATAATTAGTAGTAGTTAACAATCAATCATCAACTCTTGAAAAGGTTACTTTTACTTTTATTTGTAGAATTAAGTGTTAAATATAAATTAATCATAAGTCTCTTGGGAACGATAACTCGTTTCTTCAAGAATCTATATTACTTGCGCGACCACGTACACTTGCGTGTATACTGGGGAGCAACAATGTCCTTCTCTTAAGTGGCCAGGGCTCCGCTTTAGTGCGATAGGCTAGTCAGGCGGCAACCACTTAGCAGCCTTGGCTCGCTTAAGCGGGCATCGCTTTAGTTGCCAGGGCATCACGTTAGCAAGCCTGGCCAACTTGGCCCTAGCATCGCTTAAGCGACCTCCGCTTATGCAGGCATGGGCTTGATTTAGCGAGGCCCGCTCTGTGTGCCCAACCACTTTAACAATTTAAAATATTTAAAACCTATACAAAAAAATTCATTTGTGCCACATAAATTGGAACAGAGGGAGACACGTTCTTTGAAAATGATGTAAAAATTACTATAAATCACAACAATTAAAAACTTCAAATATTTCATAAAAATATATAAGAATTTAATATTTTTTCTAATTCCATCTCGATCGCATAATTGATACTGATAGAATAACATATATTGAGCTCGTACTGGCATGAATCCCATGTCAAAGTATATATATGTATTTTAAAGAAGTCCAAGCTTGGGTTTACACTCTATATATATCCTGAGATTCAATGAGGTAAGTGCCACTGTCTGAGATCCCCTTCTGCCTTTGCACGCCAAGAACCATCAGGTTTCACTTCTATTTCTGTCACCAATTCTCCACAAGTTTGCATCTGTACCACAAAAGACAAAAAAGGGAAAATGTCCATAAATAAGAATAAAATTGTAACTTCCTTTTTATATTTTTGCCCATAATTGGTAAACTAACCAAACATAAAATACAACTAACAAATTAAAAATGATTTACCACGAGTTTAAGAAAGTAAAAAAAAAAACTTCTGAATATTGTTGTTTTAAATTAAATATATGTAGAATATACCAATATACTCTTTAATCTTGTGGACTATAACATGCCTTGTGAAAAGTTAAAATTAAATAATTGGCAAAATAGAGACTAGACATTCATTTCGAATTGGAGGAAGTAATATATTATCTGTGTATATAAACTCTACAACTCCCACATCCTCCCCATTGAATCACTGACACTGGGTATGTTGTTGTATATAAACTCACTAAGATAGTTGAGACCTAAGATCACAAGCAATAACAACCCTAACCTGAGAAGTGACCCAATTGAAATAAGGATCAATAATGAGATGCTCCAGAGAGTAGTTGTTGAGACAGATGGGGCATTGCCACTACATAAAATAAACAACATTTGTTACTAAATATATATCACCACATACAAAAACATAGTATAAAGATGCTTGCCTTCCTAGACTTTTGATTCATTTCAATAAATACTTGAAGATCAAAGCAGCCCATATGTAAACAAGGTTTGAATCTTCCAGCAATTTTGATTCTTGAACCACTCAGTTGTACATACATCGATGCAAAATGCGAAAATCAAAATACTGCAATTAGCGCAAAAAGATGACCAAAACAAAGGTATTTGCTTACAGGGCATCGAAGATTGACAGGAACAAAATCAGCAACGACAGCTTCAAGGTCACAGTCATTGTCAGCATTTTCAGTTGTTGTACGACCACCAATGCAACGACAAATGCGAGCAAGAGCATCTTCATATATCTCACCATCAGCCTCCTTAGGGATCATGTTTAGAACCTAGACACAAAATATAATGTGTTATTCATACACCATATATAACAGTGTCAATAACTTGTACATGTCCGTTATTAAGATGGACTAAATAGGAAAGCATGTCACATAAATTTGACTACCTGTTGGATTGTACGTCGCTCTACAAGTCTAACCCCTACGCAAAATGCACGATCATCACATCCGGTTAATGATATTTTGTTAATTCCATCTCTGAAGCAACGTGTGATCTGTCAAAAAGGCAAAAAAAAAAAATAGACTTGAGGAAAACCATCCAGGGAATCAAAGGCAGTTCCATATATATCTCAATAAGAAAACAGAGAAATGGCAAGTAACAAACAGGAATTAAAAGTTATATTAAACTATAAATCACAATGAATTTTGCCTTGGCAAAACACGAATACTCACTATTGCACCATCATCGCGGCCATTTGCACCCAACAATTGTGAGCCACTTCTATCTATGCAATTCACTGGAACTCCTGTTGGTTCAGATATAATTGAAGTTACTGAACTGGCAAAAAAATTATCTAACAATAAACAACATGTTGAGAAGGGTACAAGACACCATTCCAAGTTTTACGTTGGCTCTGTTTTGAAAGGCAGCTCAATCTCGTTTTGCTGTCTTACAGAAACAATCACGAATTTCGAATCGATCACTTTCAAAGTGGTCAATTTGTGTTACTGCCATAGTAGGAGGAGGCAGATCATTCTTTCCGGCATACCCCGAGTTGTGTTTGGAGTTGAAACAATGTTTGCAGAACACTTTTTCACTTCCAGGTTCATATTTTCTTTTTGTAAGTTATTTCCAGGTTCATATTTTCCCGTAGCTTCTGCGATTCAGTTCTGATCTTCTATTTCGTTTTTCCTAATCATTGCTTGTTTTGTGATTTGTAGGAATCCCTCTTATTTTCTTTCCTATATTAGCACCTAATGTATTGAATCTATATCTTACTTACCTATTGGAATATGAAATCAACTTCTATTCGATTACATGGTATTAGAGCCAAGTCCATCCCCATTTGGATTCCTGGTCCACGCTCCAATTAGTCCTGGGCGTGAAGGGGGTGTTAGAGTGGGTAAAAGTCTCACATTAATTCGGGAATGAACGAGTGGTCTCCTTATATAGACTTGGACAATCCTCTCTTCATAAGCTAGCCTTTGGGCTTGAGTTAGACCTTGGTGTCATATTTTTACCGCTAGCAAGTTGTGAGTTATACAACTGCTTATTCTATATTAAAGCCAGCATTGCCTTTGATATGGAAACTACAACAACACTATACCCAATGAAATCCCACTAAGTGGGGTTTCATCTTTACCTCAAAGGTAAGATAGAAAGACTTTCCAATAGACCCTCGGGTCAAGACAAGAACAATCTAGAAAAAGACTTAATGGAAATACAAAAGACAATAGATAGTAATAGAAATAACAAATAGTATCATAACAGTACTACAACAAAATAATACTATAATCGAACTACAAGAAACAAACCGGAATTGAAGAACAAGAAATTACAAGCGTAGTACTACGACTACTAGTAAGCAGTGGCATAGCCTCAGCCACCCCAGGGTGTCCAATTGGACACCCATTCGTTGAAAAATTTCGTTGTATATATATGTCAAATTCTACATTTAAAAGGTATATATTTAAAGTTGGACACTCTTGACAAAAGCTATGCCTTAGGCGCAATGGTAATGGGTGCCCATTTGAATGAAGCGGTTCCGTGTTTGAATCCCAAATATCACAAATTTTATTTTTTTATTTTGACTGTCACACACCACACCATTATTCTTGGACACCCTTAATAAAATTTCTAGCTCTGCCACTGCTAGTAAGGGCAACAAGACAATACACTCCTACCTACTAACATTCTACCCTAAATCGTGTCTTCCACACCTTCCTATCTAAGGTCATAACCACGATAAACTGTAATCGCATCATGTCATGTCTAATTACCTCTCCCCACAATAAATTAATGGAGAAAGATATACTTGAGCAAGACAGAATAGAGCATACCGTTGACCTGCAAATCAACATTCTGAGGCCATTGCATCCTAAATTGTACCTTGTCATTCAGAAGCATGCACCAAGCCTGAAAATGTAGCAAACATAAAATAAAATCATGAATACACAGTTACTATTTGAACTCAAGTCATTACTCGAACAACAACCTGAAGATCATATTCCTGTTTTGCCAATAGGTATCTGCTGGCTCTACCGAGTTGGAATGTTTTTTCAATCCTCTGTTCAATGTTTATGCTGAAAATTTGCAAATGTAAAGTGATTCACAAACATCCGTCATAGCATAACCAGTGTAATGTAAATATGAAATGGCAGTAAGTTCACCAAAAACAAGCAAAAAGGCAAATCCTAAAATATAGCATGAAAAGGACAACGAAGAAAAGTCATGATAGTCAAGCCTAGAATGCAGACACAAAATTCTCCTAATGAACTAGAGATGTTTATATGATTACAGGTTAACTGAAAGAACACTCCTTTCAAGAACATACAGAGTAGCTTCACAAAACTAACAAGGTACAGGTAACTCACCCATCTGCTGGAGCACTAGTAAAACCAAACTTCACAGGATATAAAGGGTTATCAATCATCTCCCAGAATCTGCATATAGACCATTCAATCAGTGAATGTCAAAGCACTTACAATTCCATATGTAGTTAATGTAAGAAACGAGTCAAAAACTCAATGCGTCACTTAAGTATCCATATGCAGATAAAATGAAAGTGCTGGCTTTGAAGAGTCTAAAAAAAAACATAGCTCTTTTAAGATTTTACACCCATGCATAGGAGAACCCCGGTTACTGTTAGCATCGACATCCTATGTACAAAACTTTACATATAGAAAATGATAAAGAATTCCTCACATACGATTGTTTCATTCTCATGCTTCTTAAACGTTACATATAATGAGGAGTAAGCAATAGTTCATTTGAATTGAAGACAGGTAACTGTGACGCAACCAGGTACTCATTCTGCTGCAATATATGTGAAGGTGTTTAACGAGGTACAGAGTTTAAGAATAAATGAAAAAACTTTTGAAATATGTGGTCTAAATCAAGTCATAGATATTTGTGTAGCTATAAATCATCTAATTAAGGGTAAAACAAGAAGTTTACAGTTAAATTGTTACTAAATATAGAAAAGTGTTAATTCTTTTTGAGACCGACTAAGAAAAGGAAAGAATGTCGTATAAATTGGGACAGAGGGAGTAACAATGAGCTGACAAGTATTGAAGTCAAGAGAAAGCCTAGATATCTTATTCCTATGCTTAGAGATGCAACATGGAGATAAGAACCTGAAATCGCACTAACTTGCTCTATTGAACGGAATAATCCAGTCTGTTTATAGTTAATGTTGTAGCAGAGAAAACAGAATGGGCTTGCATCATAATATCCCGTGTGTTGAGAAAGTCTGATGTTGATGAAGCGAGGTAAAGAGAAATTAAATGATACTTACGGGTCTGCACAACTCAATCTGCACAATTCACAATAAAAAGTTTCAGGAGTATTTTGCTGAGCAACTCCCTCGACAGGCTTTTCTGGAATAATGACACAATCTACATGTTGCCATGCGCGGCATCTTCTATCTTCACACTGCAAGTGTAGTTCCGTTAAAAGACAAACAAAGTGTATTTAATTGATATCATAGCAAGCAGAGGTCCTGGGATTGACTCTCACCACCACCCATTAACAAAACAAAATCCACATGCCTTGGTCCATGAAAATGAATCAAACTCAGAAGTGAGGCGCATGTTCAGAATACAATTAAACAATAAAGTTTGCTCTTTAACATCTTAAGCTTTTACTGTTCATAATTAAGGCAGACGAGAAACCTGAATTATTGGTTCAGTTTGTGATGAGCTTCCACAGGGACATCGAATCTTCATCTGGTTAGGATCTTCGAATTCCTCATCCAAGACAACTTGTGACTTAGACACACACATTTTTCTGGAAGAGACAAGAAAACATCAGTATCACAAAACAAAGAATTCACTTCTGCTTCATTCATTAGATAAAAAAGAAACAGTTTTCACCAATGAAATGAGGAAATAAAATACAAACTCAGTTCTTGGTAAAGTTTTATAATAGAATCTTCTATCTTGTTTTTTCTCATAGCCATGAAGTATTTGCCCTTAAAGAAGAACCCTCTAGTACACACGCCAAACTAACTCGGACCTTATTGAAGATCCTATAGTGTACCTGAAACTTGATGCCAGTTGATGCACCGAGTTCTTCTCTAGGTCACTTTGAGCTGAGTTTCTTGAATCATCATTTCCATCAATTGGCCAAGTCATTGGTAGTGTTAAATTTCTACGAAAATATATTAAGACTTGTGAAGTCAGCACCTCAATGGTTCTTCCATAATACGAAATACGAAAATGTGAGTAATATTTTTTTTAGAACAGACAACGAGACAACAATTCATCGAAGGAAGAATTCAGAAATGTATGTACCACTCCACAAGCTTGTGTTTGCAGCGATTCATCTTATGAATGGTATAAGTATCAAAACGGACGTCAAGGACCTTTGCCAATCTTGATATCTGATGTCCTGGTAGGATGTCCCAGAATTTTAACACTTGAAAGTATGCCAAGTTCTCTAGCAAAATATCTACACTCCAAATTAATTTTAGGTGCTTGACACTGTATATCTTCAATAGTTCAGATGAATTCCTGCCACTGTTGCTGAATAAGCTGTAGTTTCCTAGCTTGCGCCAACCACTTGAAAGCTTTTCCAAAAGGGAGATCACTTCTTTACGCATCGCAACATCTTTAATTCTGGCAATGGATTTTGAGAAATCCTCACTAAAGAGAACCTGTTATGCTTAGGGGTTATGTGAAGGCCTTCAAATTTTCCAAAGTAGCTAATTGACTCAAAGAAAAGAATCCGCTATAAGCGAGATGAAGCAGCATACCTTCCACTTGGATGTCTTGAACAGAGAGGAGTTCATGGTGAGTAGTGTTTCAATCTGGCCAACCTCAATGGTAGCACTCAAAATCGCTTGAGCCAAACTTTTGTCTTCATTAACATCAAAGAAACAACCCCGAGCCTTGGACTCAATGACTAATTGCTTCCAAATGGAACCACTGTTAACCAAAGTTGTGGCATTCCCTAATACCCAAAGGCAGAATCTGCATACAAAGCCAAAGAAAGAGAATGTTCATCAATTATCTTATCACTGACTGAACACCAAAAGACAGTAGTAAGATAAGAACAGCCAATAACTTAGTACCTTGCTCGAGTCAGTGCTACATTTGCTCTCTGACAACTAGAAAGGAATCCCACTAGTCCACTCCCATTACAACGAACCGTGGATATAATTATCACATCTTCTTCGTCTCCTTGGAAACCATCAACGGAGCGTACATTCACTGAGAAGTGGCTGTTGACATCTGTGCCATATTTATGCCCAAGTTTTTGTTGAATCTCAAAAACTTGAGCTTTGTAAGGAGATATACAGCCGACGGAAACCTTTCTCCTTGAAGTAACAGACTCTATAATTTAGAAATGAAATCAGATTTTCCAACACAATTGCCATGCTAACCGAAATACAGTACTGAAAACAAGAAAACGTCATCATAAGCATAGATGAAGTCCTTGAAAGATAGTATTACCTTTATAAAGATTGGCAACGATCTCGGCTATGACATAAACTTCTGACATATTTCTAGTACTGTGTTTGTTATCATACTGCTCATTTCCATTGCTTATGTTAATAAAAGAATAGGAGCCAAAGATATTTCCTTTAAGAAATCTCTTCTCATACATTGCTTCTTTTACATTCCAACCATCCGTAATTTTATTTTCATAGAACTCTCTATTTGGGAACAAACTTATTGCAGGGTGCATTCTATATTGAACATTAAGAAGGTGCTTCTTGTGTCCTACATTTACCAGCCTTTCAAATAAGCTCCTTCCAAAGTCAGCCTTCTCGCAGATCTGGCAATAATGGACACTTTGCCAATGATCTAAGAGCAACAGATTCATTTTTTTTCTTAAAAAAATAAGTATCGTAATAAAAAGATCAGCGGAAAACCTTGCTGTGAACCATTGCAGGCAATTGTTTCTCATCCCCTACGAGTATGGCCTGACGAAGACCTGGAAGCTGCAGGGGAATAGCGGTTTCACATTCCTTCAGCTGAGCTGCTTCATCAATTACCAACATCTCCAGAGGGTTCATTCCTACCGTGTATAATTTTGATGAGCACGAGACTGTGCAGAAAATCAGACATGCACCCTTCAGACAAAAACTTTGAATATCAGTGATATCTGGAAGAGAGATTCTCTCGGTAAGAGATTTCAATACTTCGATGCATTCAAATGTATTCGCAAAATATCTCCCATTACGGAACAGTGTTCCAAGAGTTTGAAGCATCTCAAGAACTCTGATCATATCTTCAGCTACTTCTAGTGGAATGAAAGAAGTAGGCAGATACGTGTACAAGCTCTTTAGACAAACTGTCAACTGCTCCAAGATCCTTTTGAATTTGCTTGTCACAAACTCCTCAAATGTAAAACTACGGGCTTGTTTTTTGTTTTCTACCTCTCCTTCATTCTCAATTTTGTCAACTGATCTCAAGTTATTCATCATTTGAGAACTTTTATCATCATTTGATATCTTCTTCTCATTATCTTTTAAATCCTGATTGCCGAATGTTTTCTGCAACTTACTCTTCTTATTTTTATCTAGTCCTTGATTGTCTATACTTGTACTCCTTCCTTTCTCTTCCTCTGCAACATCATTAATGCTATCTCCCTTCATTAGTTTTTCTTTTCGCAGGTATTCACGGTATTGCTCTTTAGGATCTTCAAGCAAAGATTTCATGGAGAGTATACAACTTTTCCACCCATGATCAGGAGACAGACAGCTCGTAAGAGCAGCAATTCGGTTATCAAGAAATACATCAAACAGATCTTCATGATCATCAATCCCCATTCTTTTCCGATTCCCAAATAAAATTATGTCACCTAAACCATAGGTGTCATATTTCAGACCATCCTGCACTAGATGCATCACCCTCTTTGTAATTCCCAACACAGCAATGTTTGTGGAAGCACAAGTAAGAGTTCTGCATTTCGTGTTAAACAAGACGTAAAGTAAGGAAGAAACTGTTTTTGTTTTGCCAGTTCCAGGAGGACCCCAAATAAGCTTAACAGCACTCTGGTGACCACATTCTCTTGTAGCAATACAACTTATAATAGCCTCTCGTTGCGCATTATCTAGCCCAAAAGAGTCAATGGTTGTCCTATGATTTAATATGGCACTAGTTTGTGTTTCACTTAATGAGCAATGCGAGCATTTCTCTTCATCCTGCAAATGATTAAAATTTACTAGATGTTAATCAATGAAACTTATATATAGATCAAATTTGACAGGAAAAAAGATATTCTTACCATACTTGGATCAACGTTTAGCACAGTGCTAACAATGTTGATGTTTTCACTATTCATGTCAGAATTCAAAGCATTCCATATTCTAATATTGGTCGTCAAATTAGAAAGGTAAACGATGAAAAGACTATCTCCTTGTTCATGCTTTTCTCTATCTGGTTTTGTAAACGGGATAGGCTTAGAAGACAAGATGGTTATCCTGTTTAAACCTTCATCTTTGCTTTGGACAAATGCAATGAGAAATGATCTCTTTGGTCTGTTAAAGTCTGCAGTAGTTTTCGGCCTTACATCTGATAGTGAAATCAGATCACCTACCGCCGGTTCATATGTTTTCATAAATCTTTGTCCCTCGATAGTAGTTGTGTTCAACAAAACGTTGTAGTATAAACCCTTTGGAGGCTTATAATCAGCTGACTTTCTGACATTGATAACCTCAAGTGCAGGGGATTGAAAAGCATTTGTCACCCCTGAGAGCAAATCAGCATGTGTTTCTTCTATAAGCGGACTTATGAATGACTTGAAGTAATGATCAGTTGACAAGAATGTCTCTGGAATTTGTTTAACCTGTTTAACAAATTGCACAAGATCAAAGTCATGAATCTATAAAGGTTGAATATTATAGATACTTCACTTAACTTGTCAAAAAGTATAGTATTGTCGAATTTTAACTTTTTATATATACAATGTAATTTATCGAAGAAACCGGCCATGATCTGGTCTATGCAAAATGTGCTCATAAAACAGGCATGTCCCCTCCATAAATTGAACATGTGGGGCCATTTTCCAGTAGCTAATTGGCTTTACTCAAATCACAATTCACAACAGCAAAGTTTCCACACATAGCAACAAGCTCTCACTCCATCATAGTCCCATGGCAAGAAATTTCAAATATTTTTCACTTAATTTGGAATTTACAATAGAGTTGCATTTTTGTAAAGAATATTTGGAATAATTTTTATTATTGAATAAATTTATATACAAGTTCAAAAGAAGTTATTTTCCGAATTTGAAGTACAACTTCAAACAAATTACTTCAAGTTGGATTTAAAATTCTCATGGTCAAATGCGGATTTTCAAATAAAGTAAAAAGTTATTCAAGAAAAGTGAATAATGTTTATGGCAAAACAGATAGTTAAAGTATGTGAACTTTGATTGACATTTTAAAATAATATTGACATTGGAAAAATCATAATATATACACCATACTTGTATCATTTTTAAATATCTAAATTTTAATTTTAAAAATTGAGTTAATTAATTTAATCAAATTTAACATGGATTAGTCAAATTAAAGTACTCCCAAATAATTGAGGGAGGGAGGGAGTAGTATGTTATATTCTATGTTAATAAAATTACATAGTAGTATAAAAATGAAAAATACATTGAGAATATTAGGAAATATAACAAAATAATTAAAGAATCTTTTAACTCTACTACAGTTTAAACCATTACTGCTAAAGTCTAACTCTCAATAAAATTTAACTTCAAATAAATAAATTTTGGTGATTTAAAACAACTTGCACATACAGTGTACAAATTAAACTCCATCATTAAGAACTCCCACATATACATTCATACATGTAAAATAAATGAAGTACTTGTTCCTATGGTTATTAGTCAAGAATATTCCATAATATAATTATTTGAGGTAATAATTCTTCAAAACTCTAATTAACAATTAATTAGAACCACTTACCAATGAAGTAACAACAGAACACATGCTGACCAATAATAGGTTATGATCATATGAAGATAATTAGATTATCCATTTTCATAAATGATGCCCCTAAACTTGTCACAAATACTTGTACATTTAAGTATATACTTGTCATTTTTGTGCATCGCGCGTGTATGTATATATATATATAGAGAAGAAAGACTTAACCTCATCTTTGAAGAGATTTTTGTTGAGGACATGAGCGAAAGACCAAGAAAAGACGACATCTATCAAGCCCGGAATAACAATTTCTTGAGTTTTTTTATTCCATGCACGAACACAATATTCCTCTTTCAAGACTACTTGTTCTGTTTTCACCGGAACATGATTTTCTTGCTTATTCATTGAACCAAAAATTGAAGCAAGTTTATTCAATATGGACAAAATACTAAAAGATTCGAAAATTAAGCATGGACAAGGTGATCAATTAAGTAATTTAATTAGGTGAAAGATACTCATAATATATGCATATTGCATGCATTGGAACAAGTAAAAGTCACATGGGGAAATGCGATTAATGTTTCGTTTCCTCCGTTAATTAATTTATGATCTTCTCATCATTAATTTGACATGCATGCACGAGAGGAGTTACCTATTATTAATTTATTCTAAATTTTGGTTATTAGGTTCGATATTCGGTTTTTAACTAATATAATTCGATTAAACTGAAAAATTGAAATTTAATTACATTAATACTACATTCTACAGGCCCAATTTAAATATTAATGTGGCCAAATTTAATTTAAAATACACCCAAATAGAACTCCAACTAATTAAGCAAGTATGTCACCTTTGTTAAACACTACAGAAGTGCCCATAGTTGTATTTAATTTGTTGAATTGTACATAAGACGACAATTGCTTGATAGTAAAACAGATTCAAGAAGCAAAAATAGAATAGAGAAAGAGAGGCAGTAAACGTGGAAAGAAATTTCCTTGACTGTAGTACTTTTCAATGCTGCTACGGCAGTCTTTATATAGCTAAAAAAAGAACCAGCAGACTTAGACTAAAAAATTAGGAATTGCCCTACAAAGCTTTCTCCTAAAAACTAGATAATGTTGCCCGTGCTATGCACGGGCCCAATAATATAAATGGTATATTTGGGGCTAAAAACCGAATTTTTGAAGCGATTGTTTGCGTGGATAAAGGAATAAGTTTTTTTATCACAAACATGTACTTTCTTTGACGCTATTTAAAGCATAATAAGACTACCCACATACAACATTTTTGAAATATTTTATGTTGTCAATTATCATGATTTATAGTATTTTTATGACAGATTCACTTCAAGAATCAGTGGAATTTTTGTATTTTTTTTCAAAACATATTTTATGTTGTCAATTATCATGATTTATAGTATTTTTACGCAATTTTTAAATATAAAAAAAATAAGACAAATAAATTAAAATGGACCCAATATATGTTTTTTTGTTGTCTCAATTTATGTGACACAAATGAAATTTGGAGAGTCATCCAAATTTTCATATATTTTTTTAAATGTTTGAAGTTATTAATTATTGTGATTTATAATATTTTTAAGTAACTTTGAAATAATGTACATTACTGGTCACTTTGTCCTAATTTATGTGATATGGATAAAATTATAAAATTAACCCTTTTAAAATGTCTTTCAGATATTTTAAGTTGTTAATTATTATTATTTATAATATTTTTTTGATAATATTAAAATGATATGTGTTATTTTTTATGTCCCAATATATGTGAGCCTGATAGAATTCTGAGAGTCAACCTATGTTATTATATAGCTTTTAAATATTTTAAATTGGTAATTATTGTAATTTTTAATGTTTTTTAAGTCATTTGTAAATGATATATGCTGCTTCCTTGATTGGGACTTTTTCATTTGTGAGATATATATATATATATATATATATACATACATATCGTGCTATGCACGGGCCCAATAATATAAATGGTATGTTTTGGGGCTAATAACCAAGTTTTTGAAGCGATTGTTTGTGTGGATAAAGGAATAAGTTTTTTTTATCACAAATCTGTACTTTCTTTGACGCTATTTAAGGCATAATAAGACTACCCACATGCAACATTTTTGAAATATTTTATATTGTCAATTATCATGATTTATAGTATTTTTACGATAGATTCACTTCAAGAATCAGTGGAATTTTTTGTATTTTTTTTCAAAACATATTTTATGTTGTCAATTATCATGATTTATAGTATTTTTACACAATTTTTAAATATAAAAAAAATAAGACAAATAAATTAAAATGGACCCAATATATGTTATTTTTGTTGTCTCAATTTATGTGACACAAATGAAATTTGGAGAGTCATCCAAATTTTCATATTTTTTTAAAAAATGTTTGAAGCTATTACTTATTGTGATTTATAATATTTTTATGTAACTTTGAAATAATGTACATTACTGATCACTTTGTCCTAATTTATGTGATTATGAATAAAATTATAAAATTAACCCTTTTAAAATGTCTTTCAGATATTTTAAGTTGTTAATTATTATTATTTATAATACTTTTTTGGTAATATTAAAATGATATGTGTTATTTTTTCTGTCCCAATATATGTGAGTCTGATAGAATTCTGAGAGTCAACCTATTTTATTATATAGGTTTTAAATATTTTAAAGCTTTTTAAGTCATTTGTAAATGATATATGTTGCTTACTTGGTTGAGACTTTTCCATTTGTGAGATATATATATATATATATATATATATATTCTATGTTATTTTAAAAGGGAGTTTATGCCCAAGTTCTACTATATAATAAATATAATATATAATATTCAAGAAAGTCCCAATCTTGAATATTATATATTATACTTGGGCCTAAACTCTCTTTTATAATATGTAGAACTAGATAACAACTCACGTATAAAACTACTTCCTAACTAGGACAAACCTATCAGATAGAAATTTTATTTGCTAACAACTCTTATTTTACTAACGGGACTCTTTTGAAAACTAACACCCTCCCTTAAATTGAAAGTTATCATGGTTCAGTTTAACTTCAACTTCTTGAACTCTTCCATAGTGCCAATTTCAATCAACCTCCTCAAATTTTGGAAAGGAAACAACCTGAGAGGTTTGATAAAGATATCTGCCAATTGGTCTTCACTTCGGCAATATTCCAACTCTATTGTTCCTTCGTCGTTGAGATCTCGCAGAAAATAATACTTCACGTCAAAGTGGTTGCTTCTTCCATATGTAGCATAGGATTTTTTGATAGCTTGATAGTTGAGTTGTTGCAGAAAATTGTAGTTGCTCTTTCTTGTTTGAATTGTAGTTCTTCAAAAATTCTTCTTAACCAAACAACTTGACAAGCACAAGCTATAGCAGCAACAAATTTCGCTTCAGTACTCGATAAAGTGACATGCTTTCTAGAAGATCACGAAACAGCCCATGTGCCTAGCATAAAAACATAATCGGAAGTGCTCTTTCTATTGTCTTGATCTCCTGCATAGTCGTTGTCCGTAAAGCTAATCAAATTTGACTTTTCTCCTTTCTGGTAGAAAATGCCAAAATCTTTCGTTCCTTGTAAGAAGCGAAGAATTTTCTTCGCTGCTAACAAATGCATCTCCATAGGACTCTCCATATATCTACATACAAAACTTACTGCATACATAATGTCGGGTCTTGTGGCAGTTAGGTACATTAAACTACCCACAATTTGTTTGTAAAGCGTGCTATCCACCTTCGTTCCTCTCCCAACTTTGTTTAGTTTTAAACCACACTCAACTGGTGTTTTGGTGGGATTGCAGTTCAGCATCTTGAACCTGTCTAAAATTTCTCGCACATATTTCTTTTGGAAAATAAATATCCCATCATCAGATTGCACCACTTCTAATCCAAGAAAGTAATGCATATTACCAAGATCAGACATCTCGAACTCATCCATCATAGACTTCTTGAATTCAGTAAACATGGCACTATCATTCCAGTATATATAAGATCATCAACATGTAAGCATACAATAAGCATTTTCGCATCATCCCCAATCTTCACAAAAAGTGTATGCTCATACGGACACTTTTGAAAACCCATTTTCAGAAAATAAGCCTCAATGCGACTATACCAAGCTCGAGGGCTTGTTTTAGTCCATAAAGGGCCTTCTTTAAGCGATAAAATTTAGGCTCATTTCCAACCTTAACATAACCAGGAGGTTGTTCAATAAATACCTCTTCCTCCAAATATCCGTGTAGAAAAGCTGATTTGACATCCTACTGGAAGATAGGCCATGAATTTTGTGTCGCCAATGCAATTACTATTCTAATAGTGTCATGCCTTGCAACTGGAGCATAAACTTTAGTGTAGTCCACACCATACTCCTGCTTGTATCCCTTAGCCACCAATCGCGCCTTATATTTGTCAATTTCACCATTTTCCTTCAGTTTCGTCTTGTAGACCCACTTGACGCCATTGATTTTCTGCTTCTCAGGAAGATCAGTAAGCTCTCAAGTATTGTTCCTTTCAATAGCTTTAATTTCAGCATCCATCGTCTTTCTCCACTTTTCTTCTCTAACAACACTCTCAAAAAATGTAGGGTCGCAGTCCGCAAACAATGCAAAATGAGTAATTGCATCATCATTTACCTCAATTCCTATTACCTCATAGTCTGACATCCATGCAGGCCTTTTTCGAGTACGCCGAAGTGATTGAGCTGCTCAATCAGTTTCTTCTAAAGCTGCTGGAAAATTTCCACCAATTGTTGGTGTAATTTCAGCACCTGTTGGAGAGGACAGAAAGTGGAGAAAGACGAGTTGTTTATGTATATTTCTAGAATTGTATGTGTAAATCTATCAAATAATTGTATATATGTAACTATTATACATGTGTATTTGTATATTTGGTGAGCGAGATTGGGAAAGGGAGGAGAGAAGCGAGCGAGATTAAGAGAGGGAAGATAGAGGCGAGCGAGAGAGGGCGGAGAGTGGAGAGAGGCGAACTGTATATGCATTTGTCAGATAATTGTATATATATAACTGATATACATATGTATTTGTATGTTTGGCAAGAGAGATTGAGGGAGGGAGGAGAGAGGCGAGCGAGAAAGGTCAGAGAGTGGAGAGAGGCTAATTGTATTTGTATATATGTCATATAATTGTATATATATGTGTATAATTTGTATTTGTATATGTATAAAAGAGGACAAGTGACGTAATTAAAGCTAAAATTAAGTTGCGAGCTGTACTTAATTCAAACTGTAGCTAATTAACTAGTATATGCTTGTTTTTCCGCATAAGTTTCCCTTAATTTTATAGTCTCATGGTCAATATATATTATTGATCCTATATTAGACTTGAGCCTTATACCTATAAGGCCCAAAGACTTTTAGGGGCAAT